AATCGATGGGAATCGGGTTTATATCTTGTATTATCTAGCTCAATCTTGTTACAAAGGGGTGTTCCGAGGGTATGGAAAATTCGTACTTGGGATATAGGAATAGGGTCAATCTCATTAAAATGGGCATCTCTGTTCGAGAGGGGGTAACGTTTAATTTCATTCTGTGGGGCAATTTTCAATTCTTTAAAAAATCGTTGCGGGATGGGAATACAGTGTCGGGAATTATCCTTAGCTATTAACTCACGGGACTTCGGCAAATTCTGTCGTTTTTTACGGGGCTTTCTTAGCAATTTCCTCACACAATTGATATTGTTGTTTATTATTTTCTTATCTTTTAATATTTCTTCTGATGAGTTAATGTAAGTAGTTTCTGATGAACAAATAATTTGCGAAGTGGACTTTTGTAAATTATTAAAACGACAAAGGGATGGATTAGGAGATAAATCTGGAACTGGGTCATTGGGCAAATCAAGGGAAGTTTCTTCAGGGTGGTTATCTGTCTTAACTTCATTAATTTCGTTTATAATCTCTGGCAAGGGTGTAAATTCTTCACAAATAAAATCTTTTAAATAATTAGGGGTATTTTTACTGATACATATTTCTTCAAACGGAGGAAAGCCAGGAGGGGGACTAATTGGTCTTTCATTATTAAAATCAATTGTTTGATGATTATTTAAAATTTGGGGTACATAAATACTATTAGACTCAGAATTTTCATTTTTAATTTCTGTATTTAATATAATTCCTTCAATGTTTATATTGATATAATCTTTAGAATTCTTTCTATTTTTTATTTCTTCGAGAGGGGTAAAGCCAGGAGGAATAGGAATTGGGTCTAATTTATTCATTTCTTTAGTATAACTTTTAATGAAGGGGGTCGGATTATTAACTAATTTCTCCTCGGAGTGTTCTGTAATCGAAGGGTTGGGATACAAACAAAAATTAGAGAAGGTCCGGTTTCGATAAGATTTATCACTAGAATTTGTATAAACTGGTTTTAAGGAGTCTTGAGTATTTTCATTAAAAGGTCTGTTCTTGGAAGGGTTTAAAAGAGGAAGTTCAGGAAGGAGATGTGAATGGTCAAATTGAGGTTTAGTTTTAGGTAGGTTACTTTCTAATTCATTACGGGAATTCCGAAACTTTCGTGCATACCGTTTAAGGTCATACATAATTTTTATATAATCTGTTTCTTGAAGGAATTTCTCTAGGATTTGGCTGTCGGTTGCCCTTTCAGTTTCTGTCATTGAAATTCTTAAGTTTTGCCATGAATCGTGGGCCATTTTAAAATCATTAAGGATTTTGGTGATCTCTTGGGTGGTAAGGTCTATTTCATCAATTAGGGCCTGAGTAGATTCGGGAGATTGATTTTTAAAATTATCATAATCTTCTATTAGGAGAGAGAAATGGCTAGGGAGAAGTATCTCTTTAGTAATGGAACAAAGCTGGGACAATTGATTTCTATAAACTAGTGACATTTTTATTTAAAAAGCAATAAATAATTTGGACTTTTAAAATCAAACAAAATATAAACTTTTAATGAATAACGGGACAACAAAACTTAAAAAAATATTTATGAAGAGGGTGGATTAGAAATAGATCTCGGATCTTCACCGGCTGAGCTGTAAAATTCTAAACAGAATTTTAATAAATGGGGAGGGAAAATACATTAAACTCAAAAATAACTTTAATCTTCAATAATTTAACAAAGCTTTAACAAATTTATTTCCAAACCAATAATTAAAATTAACAAAATAATCTCTTTAAAATCTAAACAAAGGAACGGGACAAACAAATTTAAAGTAACAGAATATTATCTTTTCTTTTATCAAATAGGACAAAAGAATGAATAAAACGGTTGAAATAAAACGGTTAAAAATATTCCATTCTTTGAGCGGGTTCGCAATGATGGGCAAAACAAACTTAAATTAACATTTTTCTAGTCTGTCATATAAAAAGGGTGGCGGGCAATTGGACAGTTTTAAAAATTAAGTAAAGAAATCAAATCTATAGATTTGACACCTTGATGTATAAATCCCGTGACACTGTACACTCAATCTCAACAGTTTGGGGTAATTAATTTTAACACAAATTAAAACTTCAAGAGGAAATATTTACTTGTTAAAAGGAAAAATGGACAATAAAATGTAAAGGCACTAAAGGAGTACATAGGAACAAGATCAAATAGATCCCATCAAAGTTTAAATTAGCGTTAATAAATTTAATTTTAAATTTAATTAATGATTTATTAGAAAGTTTTATATTTGGATTTGTTTTTTCTTCTTCTTTATAGCCTTAAAATTGCCATTTTTTCTTAGAATCCACAATTTTCACTCTTTCTTTAGTTACTCCTTCCTCATCCGAATAAAATTCGTAACTTCCAAGAGTCAGCAATGGAGTTATTGAGGCAACTAATGCCAGTTCAGGATTATTTTCTAACGATTCACCATTATTTACCGTTATCTGGCCATCCTCATAATCATCTAATTCTGTTTTCAATATCCACATTGAAATGAATTTTCTCAAACTTTTCAATAAATCCTTCTCTAAATCATTCATTTTCTTAAACATTTTGGACACACATCTTTCCTCATTTGCTTTTTTAATTTTAACGTCGAATTGAAGCCAACACTCACAATTTTGTTTCGCTACAATTATAAAATAATTCCCTGGATTTTCAAATTTTACACAAATTTCAATGTGAGAGTATTCCATTTTAGCTTCTTGTTTATTAGCCTTTAATGAAGTTGAGTCGATAAAATTCATTCTTTTATGTTTTTCTGTTTTTAAAATTTTTCTAGGCCCACCAGGATTCAAAAACCATATAAATCTAGTTAATTTATTAGGGTTTGATGGATTTGTCAATAAAGATGTATATATCCCTTGTATTTCTATATCCATAATTTGATTATTATACTCATCGTATCTTAAATTAGCAACTTTCAATTTATTTACTTCAAAACTGATTTGTGCAGAAATCAAAGGCTCTACGGTTATTAGAATCTAAAATGAAAATAAAATTTAAATAATTTTTAAGTACTTTTATCCAAACTAGGACACGGATACTGGTTATGGTATCCGTCTCCGGACAGACGAATATATACAATATCTGTATCCATATAATTATCCATGTCCTAGTCTTCTTTTACCCTATCCACAATTTCTGTTCCATTATTTTCATTTAGAACGATCCTAATGTCAACTACTTCTAAAAAATTGAATAATAATTCAAATAACATTAGTTTTTTTCCTTTATGTCCATCAATTACACTTTTATTAAATGAATATTCTCCTATAATTAAATTATGAATGGGTGCATTCATAGTTAAGGAAATTTTATCTTTTTCAATATTTTCATCAATTTCACACAAAATTTCAATTTTACTTTTTATTTTCCCATCTTCAACTATTTTAGTAAATTCCATTCTCAATAAAATTGCTTTAAAGGATCCATCCTCATTTTTATTATCCTCTGTAGAGGTAATCAACAATCGTTGATTAATTTGTAAATTTGAAGAAGAAAGAGTAAACAAAAGGAGAAAATAAATAATTTTATTGTTCATTGAAAATTAAAGTTTTTTTAAAATTTTTAAAATAAATATTTACTTTTGAGCCCTATAATAAATTAATTTTCTTTTATACATGCCCTTTTCTTGACATTAAGAAATTATTTTTCTCATTTGATAGACTGTCCTTTGATTAGATTTTTATTCTATTACCAAATTAATTTGTCTATATTGGGAAATAATGCCCTTTATCTAAGATTTTGTTTAATTTTAATAATATGTACATTTATTAGATAATTCCACTAAACTTTTGACGATCTAACAGTAGGGGCTTAATTCGTTTCTTAGGATGGTATTTGAGGTGATCAAAAAGTCTCAAAACGGAAGATTTTCTAAGGCACAAAAACAGAAAGTAAAATTTCCTCATCAATTACACGTAAATACATTAAAAAATCAAATATTTGAAAAGCATAGGATTTGAATATTACCAAATATTTTTGCACTTTTTGTTTACAAATTATGTAATTTTGGACTCTACATTAGATCATGCGTCTAATGAACTTTTAAGCGTCCCATGCTTAATTTTATTTCCGTAATTTAAGTATTTTTAACTTATTGTAATTTCAAACTTTTATCTCTTTTTTATCTCATTTCTAAATTCATTCAAATAATCCCCTCATTCAACCTTCAAATTTTTCTCTTTTGATCTTGAATATATGATTTAAAAAATAATATATGTGAATAAAAGCTTCAATTTATTTGTGTTTTGAGTGCAAATTATTGCGATCCTTCTTACAACAAGCCTATAAACCTCAACAGCAAAACTAGATGCAAATGCAGCAGATTCACGGTTGATGTTACTAAAGCTAGAAAAGCTGCAGATCGAGTTAATTCGATATATCAATTGTTAAAGAGAAAGAATAATTTATTATTCTTTGTATAATAACTACTCAATAAAATTTATATCTAACAAGTAAAAATGGATAAAACAAAAAGTGAATATCGGTACAATATCAGATGTACATAATTCCAGTCACAAATTAAATTAATTTCATCAAATAAGAAAGTCGGTAAATTTATGTATACATATTATTTTAAGTTCAATTAATGTTAATAAAAAGTAATTATTTTTTTAGTTTTTATTTTATTTTTGATAATGACATTATAGTAATTTGTATGTATTGCTGCACATAAAGTAAAATATGCAAAATAATAAATTCTATTAGTTAATTTTTTATTACAAATTTTGTAAATATTAATTTTGTGTTACAGTCAGAGCTGCTTCAAAACAGAAAGATCTTCGAATCTATGGTTAGTCAGAAAGTCAACCTATTTTTATTAGGTATCGAACCTAAAATTAAATTGAAGCCTAAGAATCACAATCATGTATGGTTCAACCACTAAATGCTACCGCTATAATCAGAGAACCCTTATTATAAAATAGATTTTTGGAATGTCTTTAATTTAATCCGACTGTGTATTAACGAAGAATTATGTTTAAAAACAAGTTTCATCTTTCTGTTTTTCATTTGTTTGCATCTGCCTCGGATTTCGAACCGAAATAGAGTGAGAACCTTGCCTTCCGGGATGATTACTGTTTGATTTGGGCATGTGCTCACAAAATATCCTAAAAATAAAAAAAATCTTTTGTCACTTTTTAATTTTATAAGGTTACTTTTTTGTTATAAATTTAACATTAAACCCAGCAAGTAATCCATTTATTGTCTCTTTTAGGCTTGTATTATTAGTGTTACCTCCACTCCTTAAAATTTTCTTAAAGAATTCAAAAATTCTTTAAAAACTTACACATTTTTCTGTTCATTTTGGAATATTTTGTCATTACTTCCAAAAATATTTTTCTTCTCATATTTTGACGCATTTTGAGGCGGGACACTTTCAATGTAAAGAAATAAATGTTCAAGCTTATTTGACTTTAGATTTTTAATGAGCAAATATACAGCAATAATTATTGGAATTATATGAATTGTTATAACAACAGTTAACTGAATTTAATTTTTTGAATATTATTAATTTAAAATTTAAGAATTAAATAAATTAGAGATTATAATGATGGTGTCAGAAAAATATATAAAAATATTTTTCTTATCATATTTTGAAGGATTCTGAGGTTTTTGAAGGATTCTGAGGATAAATTTTTTATTATTTTATAAATATTAATTTTGCATTACAGTCAGAGCTGCTTCAAAACAGAAAGATCTTCAGATAGTTTATTATCCTTTAAAGATCCTCATTCAAAAAGTAATCTAGCTTTCAATTTATAATCTATTCACTCTTTCAGCTTTGGAGTATTCATATGCTGCAGCCTAAGATATCCTAATTAGAGCTCTGGCCGAGATCAAAGAAACTCATTAAAAAATCTTGGTCATAAGGATCGAGATTTTAAAATATCGATTGCAAAACTGGATTTATCATATAGCCTTAACAACAATGTCTACTACTATATAACAGATGAAGCCCCCAACCTTCATTAGTGTTTTTTAAAATTTAATTTCATAACAATTAAATACCGAGGATTTGCTCAGTACTGTATCATGAATTTGACCGGAACAGGGTGGTTTCTGGAAATAAAAATAATTTATAAATAAAAATAAAATAATTTTACCACAATATCATCATCATTAAAAAATTCGCATTCAAAATAATCTTCAATAGGGAGACGACCATTTCGATTTAGTTCCAATAACTGATTCAATAATTTTGCTAATATGAAGCGAATAGTATAAATAGATTCTGTAATGCTTGTCTAGAAAATTTGGAAAAAAATTTTTAATCTATGAATTTTGATAATAGTTCGAAATCTAGGCAGATCGCAAAATTGAACAAAAAATATGCGGGATACTCAGGAAAATTGGAATGGCAACATACTTATTGTAATAGAACTAATCCTGAAATTTATGACTGTCTAATTTTCATTTATTCATTTATATTTTTCAGAAACTACTGACACTTAAAATATACGTTTCGGCTTGTTAATTAAAAAACCTCGATTAATTAATGCCCACGGATTAAACTTATTATTTTAATTTTTTTCGACCCTTTCGAGTTAATTATTTCGTGATTCAACTTTATAATTAAACTTTTTAAATATCTTACATGAATTGTTAATGCTTGTGTTATTGAAAGAATTAATGCCAAAGCTGGGCATAGCTTAAAATATAAATATTTTTATCCCAAAAAATAATTTACCAAATAAATATATTGTATTCTTGTTGGAAATCTCCTATTTTTATCTTTAACTATCCAAGCAAACATACACAAATTAATAGCAGGAAATATTAGTTCTATAACTTCCGCTATAAATAAATTCCAGAGTTGATCATGGTACTGAAAATTTGAGAAAATTTTTGATTAAAGGGGGAATTTGATGAAAAAATTTAATAGTTGAGGAAGACTCGGAAAACATTTAGAGTTAGGGGGGTTATTTACTATGGAAGTAACCCACATAATGACGATAAGGGTTACTGAATACCCTATTTATTATAATACTTTAAACAAACATTATCAATCTGAGTTAATCTTTCAGCATTAACCCCATCTAATCTAAATTTAGAAGTTGAATTTGGCAGTGTAATATTCATAGCATCGGTTTCTAACATATATTCGTATAATAAATTATTAAGCTGTCCAAAATTATAAGCAAAAGTTGCAAATATTATTGTGTTAGCTATTTGGCATATAAAAATAGCTGATGATACTAAGGCTGGTAAATGATAACTCCATTGAATTATCTGTAAATTATGATCTTTAATTTAAAGAAAGTAATTTAGAAATCAAAAAAGTTATGAGGCTCCTAAGCTTAAATTCGCTAAAATCAGCTTCATTAAAAATTCTCTCTCTCAATTATAATTCAATACCTTTTCATTAACTCTTTGGTCTGCTATCTCCCTGAAGGATTTTAGATGATATTCTAATTGTTCACGCCTTTGTGCAGATGTTGCCATTTATTTTTAATTTAAAAGCTTTGTTGTTTTTTAGTTTATAATATTGAAATCATTTATTTATAAACATTTAGTTTATTTCTTTCATAGAAATTTTCAAAATTTTTAATTACAATTAAAAACTTGTATGTATATTTATGATCAAAAAATTGTAAACTTATATTTATTTTTTAATCTTTATTTCAAATTTAATTTAAAACTTTAAGTTAAAGTTTCTTTATAAATTAATGAATATCCTTGATTAAAATGCCAAATATTGAAAAATAATTTAGAGCATAACATACAGTCGTGAATAAAAAGATAAGTAAGCCTATCAAGATTAATAATAAGCTTACTTATATATTTTATCCTTGATTGAAACTAAATATTTTATTTAATTTTTTAGAAAAATACTCAAAAATTCATTTCTGTGTGTTCAATAATAAATGTTCAGTAATACTTAACTGTCTCTAACAATTAAAATTTTATATTTTACTCAATTTATTGAAAAACGGGACGATTATTTTAAAAAAGAAAAAAAAGAAAAGTAATCCTAATCTCCCTACCTAATCTAAAAATTGACAAAAAATATACAAACAATTTTTCCCTAGCAAACAAAGCACCTGTCTTTTTAAAAGAAAAATTGAAGAGATATGCGCACAGGAATGAATCAAAAAATAGTTGAACAGAGTGGCTGGGCGCGATAAATAGAGGAAGTTAAATGAAAATGGTTAGGATAACTGACAATAATATTACAGATATTTTAGAATTATGTATGTAGCAAAGTATGTCAGTCTTTTTTGAATTCAATTTCGGCACATCCCTGGATAAACTTTGAAATTTTATGATTAAAAAATTACAATTTTTTATTTAGTTTTATAGGAACCCTCAATATCTGTGAGGGTTATAAGCAGCGCGCGCCCTAAAGAACTGCGCCTTGAATTCACTAAAAAAGAAAAATAAATAGAAATAAATTTAGAGTGCGCAATAATAATAGTTAAGGATTTTTGATAAAAGAATTATTTTTGTATTTGTTCTTAATTTTAGAGAAATTGAAAAAATGATTGGATGGAAGAATTATTACTTATTTTGTTAACAAATCAATAGATTAATAAATATAAATATATAATCTAGATAAAGATAAGAAATTTTATAAATTGAAATTGTGTAAATAAAAACCTTAAAAATAAATTAATTAATTAATTAATAAAAATTAAATAAATGAGAAAAAATTTTTTATTTTATTTTGCCAGCATTTACACAATTAGATCCCTGAGTTGACGAGTTTGTAAATTATATTAACTTCGTAAATGGATCTCCATAGGGAATATGAAGGTGCCAAGTGCAATGCTACTAAATCCAAATTAATTCGGTAAATTTCAAAATTTAATGATTAAAAAAATTTTTTATACTAAAATATTTTGAAGTTATAATAATATACTACATATTTTATCAATATAAACTTCAGACATGACGTCATATTTGCACTTGAGAATAAAAAATCTGTCCTCTAGTGGCCATATAAACTACAGATATAAAATAAAAGCAAAATGAAATTCTGGAAGTTTTAAACAAACTTAATAATTAGGGACCGGATTTTTATTGAAATAAATTAGCAAAATATGACCATAAAATAGTGACAAAAAATGCCGAATAAGCTAAATATTGAAATAAATTATCGTTTATTCACTAGTAAAATCCAAAAAAAAGTTGAAATTTAACAAATAAATTTAATCACATTTTTAAATTGCACATTAGCTTTATACTTCGACGATTGAGTATACTTTTCCTCTCAAGGACATTTTGCATTTTACATTTCATAGGATCAGAGCTGCAAAAAAATTTCTGTTTCGTTTGAAATTACATGTGATTTGAAGAGGTATAGGAGATTAAAAGAGGATATCAGTGAAGTTGGAGGGATATCCGGTAATTAAGAGGGATATAGGAGAATTTGGCAGATATAAGGGAAACTGATTAGATATAAGAGGTTTGTGAATTACATTTGTAACCTACATTTTGTTTCGGCTTTTTGGTTCGGTTTCGGAGATCCGAAGTTTTAAGCATCATTTTTTTGGTTCTAAACTTTCCATTATTTCGGTTATAATTACTACAAGCTTTGCATAGATAATGTTTTTTTAGGTATTTATACCATTGAATTTCTTGTGTGGCACGACAATTGAAACAATTTCGTTTGTTTATTACGATAATTTCATCTATAATTTTAAAAATAAAGGAATGAGAAATAAAGTTGTTAATTATGTTTAATAATGAGAAATCAAATATAGCTAACCCTCAATTTTAAATAATTACAAAATAAATGCTTCTCAAATTAATTAAAATACTTAACTCGTTTAATATTCAGAAAACAAAACTAAAAAAACTTTTTACCTATTTTATTGCCAATGTAAATAACTCTACTTTTTTCTTTTAAATATTCAACTTTTTGTTTTTCTAATATTAGGTGCGGACATAATTAGTGGCCGTTTTTTTAGATTAAATTTTTAGGGGTGTTATTTTACATATATTTTTTCTACTTATTAATCAACATAAAGAATCGAATCTGCTCTTCATTTTAATACCAGGTTTAGCCATATACGGGTTAGATTCTTAGAGTTATGATTTTTTGAACTTCACTACCTCGTAGTGAAATTCACAAGCATTTACACCAAAAATTTTAAAATACCAAAAATGCAACAAAAGAATCAAATAATCGTAATGATCTAGTCAATGGGGTCGTTGTCTATGCTAGACAGCAAAAAATAGGGTTCAGGCTTTATGAAGAAGGCCGTACAACTCTCAGATGCAAACATGGTCGAGGGAGACGGCTGTCATTAAGAAAACGGTCCTGCTCGGCCTGTTTAACTGGAATCCGCTTATTTCTACTGCTGAATTATAGACGGATATCTGCTGTATACGTATGTCCACGCGTGACTCAAAAAACGCGGGCTGCGCTTAAGGAAGGCAAATCAAATGCCGCGTGTACGCTCTTTTGCACTGATGGGAAAACGACACGACACTCCCCCAAAAAGTTGTTTCTTATAACTCAGCGTAAAATCATCCGATCAGGATGATCTAAACGGTTTTATAAATTCCATATAGAGATTATACTAAATCCGAAATATGAAGTCTGTAAATCGTGTCGAACCCGGAATTCGAATTTCGACCTTTTTGTAAAATATTGACTTTTCGGATTAAAAATTCGAATTAGTGCCTTCCTGATAGAGATTTTGAAGAGCTTTCGAATGATATATTACTCTAAATATTATCATTACATATACTCGAAAAAATTTGATTTTCGATGATTTCGAAAATTTTGACATTTTCGATCAGAACTCCCTGAATACCTAACCAAAAATTTCCAAATTCTGGGATCCTTTAGAAAATACACTGACAAATGATTCGGTATAAAAATAAAAAATATTTTCAAGGAAATTAATTCTAAAAAACCAAATTAAAAAACGGCCACTAATTATGTCCGCACCTAATAATTCAATTTTATATCCAATTAAATTAACTTCCTTCCAGTAACCTGACAAAAGTTCGTTTTTATAATTTTTTATATTTCCTTCTAATAATTCTTTTTTATTTATTTTTATATTTTCTAAATTCTCATTTAATATGGAAGTTTCGTAATAATTATCCTTTTTAACAAAATTATTAGTTAAGAGCACCTTAAATTCATGATTGAATTATTTGGTGAAATTAGAGTTCGGAATTTTAAAAATGCCGGATCCGTTTTCCGGTTCTTTTAATTTTTTCTATCCGAACCGGATCAAAATCCTAAAAATCCAGTTTTTATCAAAATAGGTACCTGGATTCCGGACTACCGGATCGAAACTAATCTTTGTAATAATAAATACCCGTTTTCCCAATTTAGGTAAAAAGTTTTCAACAATTCCATTATTGGCGATTTCAATTAAAATTCTCATTTTTAATTGAGCTGTATATTTTGAAGAATTATTTAATTTAGTATTAAACACATTTTTAACAGGATTAATTTCTAGTTTACGAAATGATCCAGTTTTATTATAGAGATAATTTTCAATTCTATTTTTTTGTTTAATATTCATTATCATTGCAAAACGTTCCTTTATTTCAACATTTTTTAAATAAATAAATTCTCTTTTTTCTTCCCAATCATCCTTGATTTTCAATTCAACTTTAATTAATATTCCTTTATTTTGAATATTTAATAAAATAAACAAATATAAGATAATAATAAATTTAATCATCTTAAATTGTAATATATTAAAAATCCTATTTATTCATTTATGCCTGCTTAGTTCCAACCAGACTAGGGCATTGACACGGATTTGTATCCATATCCGGATATATCCGTGGGGTCAATATTCGTATCCATTTATGTATATCCTTGTAACTTTTAAGTCATCTGTATTCATCTGCGGGTATTACCTTAGAATATTAGGTCACTGGAAAATACAAAGCGAATCTTCATTCGAGGTATCAAAAAACGAATCCGCTAGATTTTTGTGTTGAATATTTAAATAAATAAAATATACTAGAATAGGTTTTTAAAGTTAATAAGACAAAAATTATAATTATTTAATTATTGTTTATACCCTTATAGATAAATTGTATCTTTAAATGCTATAGATATATTAGAGGACTAGTAAAAAATTTTATTAACTAATTATATTAACTGTGTAAATTGACAAAAAGTGCAAATTTATAAAGTCATATGAAGCGAGAGGCGGTAAATTATGAAATTTCTTTAATGTTTTATCAAAGAAAAATAATAAAGTGCAAAATAATTTTGAAAAATATGTTTTTAAAATATTTTTATTTTAATATTTTAATCAAAATTTTGTGTATTATATAAAAAAACAATCATTTCAGAAACAAAACAATGTGTAATATTTCAGAAACAATTAAAAGAATAGTTGTTCTTCACCGTGCAATCAAACACATAAAGGCCCAAACATAAATTTGAGGATGTATGGAACATTTTGACTGAGAATAAGGATTTGCCACGACAACTGGTGCAAAAACTTGGAGAAAATTTG